ATTCTGTGTGGACTTTCGCCAGTTAAATGACATCACCATAAAAGACTCGCATCCTTTACCTAGAATTGATGACACCTTAGATGCACTGTCAGGGTCAAAATACTACAGTACACTTGACTTAAAGTCAGGTTACTGGCAAGTGGGTCTAGCAGAGGATGCCAAACAGAAGACAGCATTTTCTTATCCGGGGGGAGGACTTTATCAATTTACTGTAATGGCATTTGGGCTATGTAATGCCCCTGCCACATTCGAGAGGCTTATGGAGAGAATTCTACATGGTTTGTCATATGATATTTGCCTCGTCTACTTAGACGACATTATTGTTCATTCAAAAACATTTGATGAGCAAATTGAAAACCTAAAACTGGTGTTTGATCGATTAAGAGAAGCCAACCTAAAGCTGAGTCCAGATAAATGTCAACTCTGTCAAAATGAAGTACTCTTCTTAGGTCACAAAGTCAGTGAGAATGGTCTTTCAACAGATCCAAACAAAATCAAAGCAGTCAAAGAATGGCCAACACCAAAGTCTACAAAAGAAGTAAGAAGCTTTCTTGGATTGACATCCTACTACAGAAAATTCATATTGCATTATGCAGATAAAGCAAAGCCCTTACACAGATTAACAGAAAAATCAACAAGATTTCAATGGAACGAAGAATGTCAACAGTCATTTGAAACTTTGAAGAATGCTTTAATTACAGCCCCAATTCTGTCTTACCCCATTGAGGAAGGCACTTTTATCCTGGACACTGATGCTAGTCTAGTTGGGTTGGGTGCAGTATTATCTCAGGTCCAGGAGGGGTCAGAAAAAGTTATTTCATACTACAGTAGAACCTTTACAAAACCAGAGAGGAGTTATTGTGTCACTAGACAAGAGCTTCTTGCCATAGTTAGCTCTCTGAAATACTTTCATCACTATTTGTATGGACGTCACATTATTATTAGAACAGATCATGGAGCACTTAGATGGCTCCTCAACTTCAAGAGTCCTGAGGGACAAATGGCCAGATGGTTTGAGGTATTAGCTACATATGATTTTGAGATTCAACACCGAGCAGGCAGAAGTCACAACAATGCGGATGCTCTTAGTCGCAGACCCTGTGTTGAACCAGGATGTTCACACTGTACCAGAATAGAAAATAAAGAGTTAAAAGAAGAACAGAGAGAAACGACAACTTCTAGAAAAGTAGTAAATGCAATTACAAGATCAAAACGAAGAATTACAATACCAGAAATAACAACTGAAGAGTCCGCAACATTGAAGGAACAACAGAGAAATGATCCTATACTGAAATTCATTATAGATGCTAAAGAGAAAGGTCATAAACCTGAATGGGCAGATATTGCTGCAATGGGCAATACTTTGAAATTCTACTGGCAGAGATGGGATTCTTTAGAACTGAAAGACGATATTTTATATTACAGGTTTGAAAACACAAGAGGTTTTACCTCTTGGTTAGTCTTAATACCTGAATCAGCGAAAGAGACAATTCTTAGACAATTACATGATGGAATCACTGGGGGACATTTAGGAATTAAGAAAACTTTACTTAAAGTTCAGCAGAGATATTACTGGCATCGCTTGAAGAAAGACGTAGAGAGCTGGTGTCGCAATTGTCATTTTTGTGGAAGCAAGAAGCCACCTCCAAAGAAATGGAGGGCGCATTTACAACAATATAATGTTGGAGCACCTTTTGAACGTGTAGGCATGGATATTTTGGGTCCATTTCCTAGAACTAATACAGGAAATAAATATTTGTTAGTAATCGGTGATTACTTCACCAAGTGGTTAGAAGCCATCCCCATAAAGGATCAAGAGGCTACCACAATAGCGAAAGCTTTTGTCAATAGAATAGTGTCCATATTTGGAACACCTTTACAGCTCCATACCGATCAAGGTACGAGTTTTGAGTCTACAGTTTTCAAGCAAGTGTGCACCTTGCTAGGAATTCAGAAAACTAGAACGACTCCCCTGCATCCCCAATCTGATGGAATGGTCGAAAGAGGAAATCGAACAATAAACCACATGTTGTCAGCTTTTGTTTCAGAAAATCAAAGAGACTGGGATGAACATATATACTTATTAATGTTAGCCTACAGATCATCAGTGCATGAAACAACTAAAGTTACCCCCAATGAGATGATGTTTGGTCGACAAGTCACCTTACCTATAGAATTGCTATATGGTACCCCTATAGTTGATAGCAATCTTCCAGACTATAGCGAAGAATATGCATTTCAACTCCAGCAACGAATAGAGAAAATTCATCAATTTGCGAGAGAAAACCTCCAACTATCTTCAGAGAACATGAAGCGGCGTTACGACAAACAGTCAAATATATTACAACTAGAACCTAATGCATTAGTATGGCTTTTCAACCCCAAAAGGTCTAAGGGCCTCTGTCCCAAACTACAATGTAAATGGGAGGGTCCCTACACCATCATACAAAAATTGAATGACGTCATTTTCAAAATCCAGAAAAACAAACACTCAAAGCCCAAGATTGTACATCATGACCGCCTCAAACCATACGTGAACAACCATCAATAGAAAGCTCAACTCTTCACCATGAAGAAGACTGATTATGTCATTTGAGGACAAATAATTTTTCGAAGGAGGGGGGTAATGTTATGAACCTATTGTGACAGTAATAGTTGTTTACTGATTTATTTATTGTTGATATTGTTGGAATATATAATGTTATATTAATAGGAATAATAGTAGTTAATGATTATTCCTGAGATATGAAGAAGTTACAATTGTCATGTGTATTGATGTTTATTTTTGTGCGGTACTGTACTACAGTGCATGTAAACAAGGATCGAATAATTCTTGTATCCAGCAAGAAATACAACCCCAAGATGATTTATCAATTAGTTAGAGGTGCAGAGACAACTATTTATCAACTTTGTCTATCAGCAACTTGTGTTATATAGAATTACTAAGCGTAATCACCCAGCTGACAGCCAGCTATAATTATGTCAACACGTGCTCAGCACATCGTCACCTCGGAGAGATGATTCAGCTTTAAATACCATTTACCATAATTTATAGACATAATAAACAGAATCTACACCTTTTAATTACTCACGTCTGAATATTAAGACATCGTTAAATACTTTGTATAAGCTGTATCGGTCGTCATCTCTAGGGAGAATTCAGCAATGTTTTCATACGCAGACGGCCATGTTCCTTCATGAATAATAATGAAGGGTCACGTGATAAACACTATATAAGGCCGATCCCGACCTGAAATCATCACTTCGGTCATCAAAATGAGCCAGCAGCAGCTTTTCCAGCCAGACCATCCGGCTCCGAAGGTGAATATTTTGCACCTTCTCTATTAGATACATAGATTTGAACATACATTCCATTCATGATCTATTGATGTTTAGTAGGAACACCATCACCACCTTCTGTATCATATTCAGCATCCCTACTCACCTTCCTTAGAAGGTGCAACTAGAGAGAGTTCAACACCTTCCATCACCTTTTATCAACTTCTACTAGAATTATAACTGCAATTATATAGCCTATATATTATTACATGTATTACACTATATGTACCTTGGTTAGGTACCATAGTTGTGTACACCTTCAGTTGATAGGTCACCTTCTACACCTTCTCTGTACCAAGTGTACCTTCTACTTATCAATAGAGATTATCACCTTCTCAGAACTTCTACACCTTCTTATGAATAGCCAGGCATCACCCCGAGAAAATATCAACATCTAGAGACCTGAACTACATTAAAGAGCGCGTTTGACTTTGTGCTTTTTAACTTAATAAATTCATAGATATTTTTAATCATCTTTGTCATTACTTGATTTCTGACAGGTACAGGAGGGCTCACAAACTTTGAAACGTCTGCAACCTTTACTCCATAAAATAGTGGGTCATTATAATACTACAGGTTTCAGCAGGTGTATGCGTTTCAATAATTAATATTTTCTTGAAAAATAATTTTTTAAAAATAACTTACGGAATGCCTCATAAGTATATACCATGTTGTACTCTTTGTTAGAAATTTTCATTTTTTATATTGACCTACTTTCTTTGTGTGTATTGCCCCCAAAGTGGCTGTTAAGAGAATTAACAGTGTTCTACCAGTTAAGTATTAAATCTTGCTCAAGTCTATATGTTACGGTTTCATTTCATTTATTAATTGTTCCAATTTTTACTGTGTTTAAGAAATCTGCATCTCTGCTCTCCAACATACTTATAAATGTTATCAATCATCTATATTTGGCATTATCAGAAAGTATTCAATGATGTTAGAAATTCTTAACTTTATGTTCATTTAATTTATGTAGCTACATGTATATGATTTAACATCTTCAGAGGGCCATCATCGTTAGTCATATTAATATGCAACCATCCAAATGTAGTGCAGATATATAACTTTATTCAACATGGCTTTCTGGACTAGGGTGGGGACACAATAGTGGATCAAATTAAGTTTTACATGTAACATGGAGATAAATAGGAAAACATCTTTAAATACTGCCTAGCTTCCAAAGAACAGCAGAGCCATGCTAAACATTTGTTTATGTTAATTTATTACATGTATATGTTTGTCATAGTTAAAAAGAATTGATCTACACAACACAGAACATAATTTTGTTCCAATACTGGTTTAAACCAGAAGTCTCTGATGAGACTGTAGCTCTACTGGTCTGTACGTATAACAAAGTAGCACTTGGATTTGAAACTTTGCAACATGCAACAATAAACAGAATTATGTCTCTTAATGTAGTCTACTTGTGTGCCAAGTTATATTGAAATCAGACCAAAACTGTAGGAGGAGTAGCATTTTGAAAAATTGTTTACAGACAGACGGACAGCTAGACAGACAGACAGACAGACAGACGGACGGATGCCGGACACCTTACTATTGCATAAGCTCTTCTGGTCTCTGACCAGTAGAGCTAAAAATCTAGCTAGTAAGCTCTCATTAGTCAAGAATTAAGTCATCCCTTTGTTTTTGGTCCTTTTCTTTAGGTCTAGATAAAAATGGCTCAGCAGCCTGAACATCATCCAAACTGCAGTCCAGATCACAGGAACAGACAATCTGGGGCTACAGAAGATGGACATAACTTTGTCAACAACTATACCTTAGCTGTTGATTTTGATCTGGAATGCTTGGGCTGTTGTTTTGCATATCTCAGGGGAAGAAATTACCAGGAAGTCTTAGGGGCTTTGTATGACAGGGTTCACTACTCACAGGAAAACTTAGCTACTCCTGGAGCCCGGATCAGAGGGGATACGATGAACTCATATGTAAAAGTACCAAGGCGTGGAAGAAGAGGCCAAATTGCCACAGGACATGACTTGAATTTGGGGGAACTATCGGTCCGTCCATTTGCCAATTCTCGAACTTACCAACTGTACTCTGAAACAGGTGCTCTAAGTGTTGGTTTTGTAGCCAATGCTCGCATGGAGAGTGTAGCAATTGATGTTGTGAGGCCAGATGAGCTTGTCAATATCTACCTGAGCTATGCAGATGCTGCCCTGGTTGAGTTATACAGGGAACAAAACAATCAGGAAAGTTTGAGTCGAGCTGAGGCAACAGGTTACTTGCTTCTTCGAAATCCTGAGCAAGAGGGGCACTGAACTCAATCAAATATTCATAATATACATGCTTGAAAGAAAGCTATCATTTTGATATTCTTTGTATCAATTATCAAAAATATATAGAGCAACAAGTAGAAGCATTTTACAGATATACTCAGTAAATATATTTTTAAATTCATACATTTTAATCTTTATATAACCATTTTATATACCAGTGCATTTTTTCTATTTCTGCAATGTTATATTTTTTGCAAAGCACAAATGACATATGTATACTATTTTATGCATTTGTTTTAGAATAAAATAATTTAGAATGTATTCAATCTTTTATATTTGAGAAACTAGAGGTACTGTGAACAAGGTCACCAAATTTTACCCCCCTCTGCAATTTTTTAAAGTGCCCATATACATGTACATTCTTCTAAAAGTGATCTTAACTGTGCCAAAATGACCTTGGTTCAAGGAAATGACACATTCTGGTTATAAGTAATCTTTTTGCAGTTGATTTGTCAGACCGGTGTGCAAACTGTTGCCCAAGGCCGAAGGCCGCAGGCAACAGTTTGCACACCGGTCTGACAGATCAACTGTTGCCCAAGACCCCTGTCAACAACTGTTTTATTATACCCATATAATAAAAACTTAAAATCATTCTTGTATACAGGATTAAATCAATTCTTTGCACGATTTATCTTGAAGAAGAGGTAGCGATAAGTCCAGAGTCACCAGATATTCGCTGAGAATATTTTCAGCCGTTTTCACAACATTTTTCGTATGAACATCAGCCATTTCTGTTTATCTTAATGACAGGTTTAAATTACTCGGCACTCCTCGACTGAGTAATTTAACTCACGGTTACCCGAATCAACCGAGGTTTGCCGAATGAGGTATTGATAACTCAACTTAGCGCCATTTGACGTCAGCGGGCAACAGTCTTTTTTTAACAGTCTATTTTAACAGTTCCTGGACCGACAGTCGGGGAAAACAGTCGAACTGTTTGACTTTTTTAAGTAAGAAATTATATAGGGACTGTTTAGTAGGGGTATAACAACTTTCAATTTTATCCTTTGGAAACATGACATGGACACAAATTTTAATAATTTTTCTGCCAGGGTCAAGGTCACACCTTCAGGTAATAACCAATCTTTGTGAGGTATGACCTTCCCCTGAATTTCACTTAGAAGGTTATGAACTGGACAAAATTTTTCTACTAGTGACCTTGAACTTGTTGAAATGACCCTGTGTCAAGGTCATGACACACCATCAAGCAATCTTTGTAGAAGGTTTTTGAACTGTACAACAATTTTTCTGCCAGAGACCTTGAACTTGCCGATAAAACCTTGAGTCAAAGTCCTGACAAACCCTAAGCAATCTTTCTGTCAAGTATGAGCTTCAATTGCTTTTCTTTTATAAATTTATGGCCGAGACTCTATTGCACGGAGAGCAGACAGACACAGGGGCGGATATAAGAATTTAGGTTGGGGAGTGGTGAAATTTTCTCTCACAGGCAGGGGGTCTGGGGCTGCCTTAAGACCCCCATTGTTTCCAGGACAAAGCACTGGTGGGGACCCAGAAGCAAAGCCCCCAGAAACTCCTGAATTTTAGTGATTTTGAAAGTAAAATTTAACATTCTTTAGCTTTTATAAGTGTAGTTACATGTGTTCGAGGTCACTGCACACCCTCTACCAACGGGAGTTTGAGCCTGACTGGGCCAAAGGAAGAGAAAATATGCTCCAGACAAGGATTTTCTACAGAGATGTTTTTTTTACAATCAAGTTGAACATGTACCAATGTTTTACAATAAGCACATTTATCTCCAAAATTTGAACCTTCAGAGTGCCCTTTCTTAAATTCTGTGGCATCTAACTTTACATCTATGACCACTGATCGATTTATTGGCAACAGTGTCTGCCACCTTTGTGTTGCAATCACTTTGAAAATAACATGTGCAGATTTCATACCTTATATAATTGATAAACTTAGAAAATTATTATGGAGACTTCCTTATTTTCATAACTTTATCAGAAAAATATACCCACTGAGTAAACTACAAGCTTCTGCATCCATTCTGGAGAAAATGTGTACATTTCCAAATTGATATATTTCTACACAGCTGTTGGCATGTAAATTTTGTGTACAATTCTCTACTTTGTTAAATAATGAGTATGTACATAAAAAATTTTGTCACTAAAATTTAATTATAAGCATTGACTATATAAATTATTTCATTCATCTAGAAATGACTCTAAAAAAAAATTGCACACTTTTTTATGAAAACATTGGGCTTTCATAAAGTGTGCAATTCATTTTTTAGATTCATTTCTTAGTAAATAAAATAATTTACATAGTCAATCCTATAATGTTATTTTCATATGCAAAATAATTTTTTATCAAATAAAAAAAAAAAATATTATTGTCTACCTAACTCTTCCTGACATGTTTTATTAGATATTTGTATAAATAATGCAATAATTAATATCAAAATTTAAACTTTAAATTTTTAGTATTTCATATTCAACCAAAACAATTTTTCTATTTTCTTAAAAATAAACAAGTCTGGATGTGTTTGTGAAACACTGATGCCCCCGTATGGCAACTTGTAGCAAAGGTTAAACTTTCTCAAATGAAAATCAAATATGTTGGTACCCAAAGTAAGGTCTTGTCTCGAGGAATATACCAGTGAAATATGAAAGCCCTAGCAGCAACCATTGAACAGATATGGAAAAGGTTAAAGTTTTTTTTCAAAAGTATGTCAAACATCAAGGTCAAGGTCAAATGGTCAAAATTAATGGTACCCAAGGAAAGGCCTTCTTACAACAAATACACAGGTGAAATTTGAAAGCCAAAGCTCCAATCATTCAAAAATTACGACCAAGGTTAAAGTTTTCCACAAGTAGGTCAAACTCAAGGTCAAGGTGAAAGGGTCAAAGATGTTAGTATCCAAAGAAAGGTCTTGTCACAAGGATTACATATGCGAGCCTTAGCACCAACTGTTCAAAAGTTATGGCCAAGCTTAAAGTTTTCCAAAAGTAGGTCAAACTCCAAGGTCAAAGGGTCAAAGTTGTTGGTATTCAAAGAAAGGTCTTGTCACAAGGATTACATATGTGAAGTATGAAAACCCCAGGAACAACCATTCAAAAGCTATGGCCAAGGTTAAAGTTTTCAAAAAGTAGGTCAAACTCCAAGGTCAAGGTAAAAGTTGTTGTTATCCAAAGGAAGGTCTTGTCATAAGGATTACACATGTGAAGTATGAAAGCCCTAGCACTTACTGTTCAAAAGTTATGACCAAGGTTAAAGTTTTTTAAAAGAAGGTCAAACTCCTAGGTCAAGGTCAAAAAGGTCAAAGTTGTTGGTATCCAAAGAAAGGTCTTGTTACAAGGAATACACATGTGACGTATAAAAGCCATAGCACCAATTGTTCAAAAGTTATGGCCAAGGTTAAAGTTTGGTAAAATTTTGCAAAACTGGGTCAAACTCCAAGGTCAAAAGGTCAAATATGGTGGTACCCAAGGAAAGGTCTTGTCACAAGGAATACACATGTGAAATATGAAAGCCATAGCTCCAACCAATCAAAAGTTATGGGCAAGGTTAAAGTTTTTGCAGACAGACAGATGGACGGACAGGGCAAAAACTATATGCCCCCGAATCTTCGATTACGGAGGCATAAAAATCTTATAAAATAAAGCATATAATTTGGTCTTTCAATGATGAAATCATATTATGTCAAAAGAGATATTTTAAACATCCATTAAATAATATTTTGTTTTGTATACCTCCTTCTAAATAAATAAAAAATGATGATATAGCTACTGGTGTTTATTTATTTATTCAATGACACTAGTAGGAGAGACAAAAGATAAGTATACAGTGGCATATTTGTTGATCAGAATAACTTTATCTATACTAAAAATCAAGATTACTGGATCCCTTTTTTATGAGGCTGGTGTGACAGGATAAAAATCAGATGTTTGAAAATGGATAAATTATGACTTCTCATGGAATGAGCCATATATTGGTTTGGGCATGATTATCTGTCTATCATAAAATCATGTCCAGGCGTACTTTGGAGACTTGATTTGGAAGGTTCAAACCCTTAGTTTATTCTTATCAATGACCTGAAGATGTGTCAAAAACATTCCCTGAGCAATAGAGTCAAGGAACATATCTTGAATAGAGATGTACAATTATTGAATAATGAAGTGACAGCTTATCATTTTAATACTCAAAGTCATACGTCAATGGTCATTGTTATAAAAATTGATGAATGAAGTCCATGCAGGCTATAACTAGGACATTCTTGACCAGTACATTGTACATTTTTTGCTTATGACACACAGATGTATCAGAGCCTTGACTCAAGGTCATACAATGTATGACATACAATGTAACAAGTCAAGTAATTGAACAATGGGGTTGTGAAATTGTGTGCCAAGCTGGGCTGAACTTTGGAACCCTTGACTGGAATGAATTCAAACTTGAGCCTTTAGGTTAGGTTAAAGGTTAAGGTTGTAGTGTGATGGCCAGAGGTACATGTATGAGGGAGATTCCACTTCTCAAAAAAAAAATTCTAGTTTGCATCATTCCCTAAGCAATAGAGTCAAGAAACATCTTGAATAGAGATATGATTATTGAATGATGAAGTGACAGCTTACCATTTTAACCCTCTGGTAATTATAGTTACCATAGTAGAGGATTGTTGAAAATTTCATGAACTTTTTTTAGTCTTGCCTTCTCCCTTTTAATCCTTCCCATAAAAATAATAAGGCAAGCTAGTCAGTAAATGATATATAATCAATCCATATCACAGGTCTTACATTCAAAACATATCAGCATTGCACTTAAAGAAATTAAAAACATTTTGAACATGAAATATACTTAATAAATAGACATAATCTTAAAAATCATAAGCTTAAAAATACATAATGCATGACACTCTATGCACATTTACTATTGTGGACTTTGTATTTTCATTTCTTGTACAATGTCTTTTACATTTCGCTAATTAAAATTCATCACCAAAAAAAAAAGATATTTGTGAAACATTTATGCCCCCCTCTCTGGACATACATTATAGGGTGCACAGAGCCTTTATTATAGGCAATATACATTATGGGCAGTGTACATGGAAAAAAAATTGACCTTTTGAACTTAAAATCAATAGGGGTCATCTACTGGTACTATCTAAGATGCATCAACCAGAAATAGACTTCTACATCACATCTTTGGTAAAAACACATTTCTCATGATACATATACATCAGTAATTAATTTGTTCAACCTTTGCAGAGATAATGAACAGAAAGCAAATAGTTGGAATGTTTCCAAGTTCAAGGGGCATAACTCTGTAAAAAATTGCTTGATCATATCTAAAACAGAAGTTGACCTAGATATTTTTATGATAAATCTGTATACCAAATTTCATTTCAGTATCTGCAACCTCTGCGAAGAAAATGAATGGAAACTGTTGGTGGATCGACAGACAGACAGACCAACTAACAGACAGCAGCAGAGCAATATGCCCTCCTTTCTTCAAAGGGGGCATAAAAATGAACTTGTACAGAGTGTTAAACGCAAACATGAAAAACTTTAAGTCATGAATTTGCTAACTAGTCCATCACCTATAAATATGCTAAATTTAGCATTCATTAAAATAAGTATTCACAACTAATATTATACAATATCAAAAACAAAAAATAACAGAGTATCAACAAGATATGAAATAAATAAAGCCTAATAGTTTTTAACAATGTCTTGTAAAAGTAACAACTTATTAACAAGAAAAAAATTACATAGGAAAGAATCTGATAGAAATTTTGTACAATTTGCCTTGTAAAGTTTTGGTAAAATTATTCAAAATCAAAGAAAGGTTTACAGATAACATCTTGAAATCTGCATAAACAACCATTAAAACCTTAATTAGTTATAAACAGTCAAACCTCATTATCTCGAACTTGAAGGGACCAAGAAAATACTTCAAGATAACCGAGGATTTGAGATATCCAAGGTAAAATACATAAGAAATAAGAAGTTGGCACTTCAAAATGACTTCGATATATCCATGATATTCGAGATATCCGTGTTCGAGATACCGAAGTTCAACTGTAGTATAAATGTATTCCACACTGTGATACATTGTACCAGTATTTTAAAATGAATGTTGAAAAAGAATAAAATTGTACAATCAACATTCCATTATACTGGTAATGCACAAGTAAAAATCATTTGAAATAGAATCTTTGAAATTTTGCAGGATTATAGCTACCCCTTCCTCTCTTTTCCACTGCTTGGAAATCTACCATTCTGTTTGTTCTGTCTGGATTCACTCTGATGTATAAATAAAAACATTGAAAAAAAAATTACTGGTAATCAGGATATATACATTAGATCAGAATAAATACAACACTAGATTTCTACTGAAGTCTATGTTGATAGAGGAATTTCGACATCTTAAACAAACAAAAACAACTTGATTATCAATTATCATAAAAATGTCTGTAGCTTAAATTTGATATTCTGGTAATATTTTGAGAATTTAATGCCCTGTTCACACGGAGAGTTTAATTTGCAGTGAATTAATGCAAAGTAAAATGATGCGAATTAAACTAATGCGAATTAAATTGCGTTCACACGACAGCTAATGCGAAGTAAACTAATGCAAATTATAGTTTTATTTCTGCAACAAGACTATTCAGTGATCTCATTACTACTATGAGGGGAGGGGGGGGGGATCTTGTGGTAAAAAGAGCCATTTACAATAGGTAATAACACTTTTTCCTAGAGTTTATCATTCTACCTACTTTTCTGTTTGGCTGGAGTTGAAGTACTGGCATTTTCACTGTCAATCCTATTGTGTTCAAGTTTCACTTTTTCACGAAGCTCATCCTGAAATATAAAAATTGAAACATTTAATATCAAATTGAATTCAACTGAACATTTTGTCACTATTCCTTCAAAATATTATTATTTTTTACCTAACTTAACTGAATTAAATGACCAGTGATCATACTGCACACCTTTTCTAGAATTTTTTTCATTTTCTAATAAATATTTCGAATACAGTCAAACTTCGTTATCTTGAACTCAATGGGATGGAGAAAATACTACAAGATATCTGAGGATTCAAGATATTAGGGGTAAAATACTTAAATAATAAGTGGTTGGAACTTCCAAATCACTTCAACATATCCATGGTATTCCAGATATCAGTGTTTGAGCTCAACTGTATATGAATGTATAATTCAAAAGGTTAATATACTGAGATTGATTTTTGACCAATACTTACTCCCCGCCCTAACATGTCTGCCAGTTTGTAAATCTTTGACTAATACTTACTCCCCATCCTAACATGTCTGTCAGTTGATAGATCTTTGACCAATACTTACTCCCCATCCTAAAATGTCTGCCAGTTTGTAGATCTTTGACTAATACTTACTCCCCATAATAACATGTCTGTCAGTTTGTAGGAAAACTTTGACCAATACTCACTCCCCATAATAACATGTCTGCCAGTTTGTAGATCTTTGACCAATACTTACTCCCCACTCTAACATGTCTGCCAGTTGGTAGATCTTTGACCAATACTTACTCCCCATCCTAACATATCTGTTAGTTTGTAAACCTTTGACCAATACTTACTCCCCATCCTAACATGTCTGCCAGTTTGTAGATCTTTGACCAATACTAACTCCCCATCCTAACATGTCTGTCAGTTTGTAGATCTTTGACCAATACTTACTCCCCATCCTAACATATCTGTTAGTTTGTAGACCATTGACCAATACTTACCTCCCACCCTAACATGTCTGTCAGTTTGTAGAACTTTGACCAATACTTACTCCCCATTCTAACATGTCTGCCAGTTTGTAAACCTTTGACCAATACTAACTCCCCATTCTAACATGTCTGCCAGTTTGTAAACCTTTGACCAATACTAACTCCCCATCCTAACATATCTGTCAGTTTGTAGACCATTGACCAATACTTACTCCCCATCCTAACATGTCTGTCAATTTGTAGATCTTTGACCAATACTTACTCCCCATCCTAAAATGCCTGTCAGTTTGTAGATCTTTGACCAATACTTACTCCCCATCCTAACATGTCTGCCAGTTTGTAGATCTCTGACCAATACTTACTCCCCATCCTAACATGTCTGCCAGTTGGTAGATCTTTGACCAATACTTACTCCCCATCCTAACATATCTGTTAGTTTGTAAACCTTTGACCAATACTTACTCCCCATCCTAACATATCTGTCAGTTTGTAAACCTTTGACCAATACTTACTCCCCATTCTAACATGTCTGCCAGTTTGTAAACCTTTGACCAATACTAACTCCCCATTCTAACATGTCTGCCAGTTTGTAAACCTTTGACCAATACTAACTCCCCATTCTAACATGTCTGCCAGTTTGTAAACCTTTGACCAATACTAACTCCCCATAATAACATGTCTGCCAGTTTGTTAACCTTTGACCAATACTAACTCCCCATCCTAACATGTCTGTCAGTTTGTAGATCTTTGACCAATACTTACTCCCCATCCTAACATATCTGCCAGTTGGTAGATCATTGACCAATGCTTACTCCCCATCCTAACATATCTGTCAGTTTGTAGATCTTTGACCAATACTCACTCCCCATCCTAACATGTCTGTCAGTTTGTAGATCTTTGACCAATACTTACTCCCCATCCTAAAATGTCTGTCAGTTTGTAGATCTTTGACCAATACTCACTCCCCATCCTAACATATCTGTCAGTTTGTAGATCTTTGACCAATACTCACTCCCCATCCTAACATGTCTGTCAGTTTGTAGACCATTGACCAATACTTACTCCCCATCCTAACATATCTGTCAGTTTGTAGACCATTGACCAATACTTACTCCCCATCCTAACATGTCTGTCAGTTTGTAGATCTTTGACCAATACTTACTCCCCAACCTAAAATGTCTGTCAGTTGGTAGATCTTTGACCAATACTTACTCCCCATCCTAACATATCTGTTAGTTTGTAGATCTTTGACCAATACTTACTCCCCATCCTAACATATCTGTCAGTTTGTAAACCTTTGACCAATACTTACTCCCCATTCTAACATGTCTGCCAGTTTGTAAACCTTTGACCAATACTAACTCCCCATAATAACATGTCTGCCAGTTTGTTAACCTTTGACCAATACTAACTCCCCATCCTAACATGTCTGTCAGTTTGTAGATCTTTGACCAATACTTACTCCCCATCCTAACATATCTGCCAGTTGGTAGATCATTGACCAATGCTTACTCCCCATCCTAACATATCTGTCAGTTTGTAGATCTTTGACCAATACTCACTCCCCATCCTAACATGTCTGTCAATTTGTAGATCTTTGACCAATACTTACTCCCCATCCTAAAATGTCTGTCAGTTTGTAGATCTTTGACCAATACTCACTCCCCATCCTAACATATCTGTCAGTTTGTAGATCTTTGACCAATACTCACTCCCCATCCTAACATGTCTGTCAGTTTGTAGACCATTGACCAATACTTACTCCCCATCCTAACATATCTGTCAGTTTGTAGACCATTGACCAATACTTACTCCCCATCCTAACATGTCTGTCAGTTTGTAGATCTTTGACCAATACTTACTCCCCAACCTAAAATGTCTGTCAGTTGGTAGATCTTTGACCAATACTTACTCCCCATCCTAACATATCTGTCAGTTTGTAAACCTTTGACCAATACTAACTCCCCATTCTAACATGTCTGCCAGTTTGTAAACCTTTGACCAATACTAACTCCCCATTCTAACATGTCTGCCAGTTTGTAAACCTTTGACCAATACTAACTCCTCATTCTAACATGTCTGCCAGTTTGTAAACCTTTGACCAATACTAACTCCCCATCCTAACATGTCTGCCAGTTGGTAGATCATTGACCAATACTTACTCCCCATTCTAACATATCTGTTAGTTTGTAGACCATTGACCAATACTTACCTCCCACCCTAACATGTCTGTCAGTTTGTAGAACTTTGACCAATACTTACTCCCCATAATAACATGTCTGTCAGTTGGTAGATCTTTGACCAATACTTACTCCCCATCCTAACATATCTGTTAGTTTGTAGACCATTGACCAATACTTACTCCCCATCCTAACATGTCTGCCAATTTGTAGATCTTTGACCAATACTTACTCCCCATCCTAACATATCTGTTAGTTTGTAGACCATTGACCAATACTCACTCCCCATCCTAAAATGTCTGCCAGTTGGTAGATCTTTGACCAATACTTACTCCCCATCCTAAAATGTCTGCCAGTTTGTAGATCTTTGACCAATACTTACTCCCCATAATAACATATCTGTCAGTTTGTAGGAGAACTTTGACCAATACTCACTCCCCATCCTAACTTGTCTTCCAGTTGGTAGATCTTTGACCAATACTTACTCCCCACCCTAACATGTCTGTCAGTTTGTAAACCTTTGACCAATACTTACTCCCCATTCTAACATGTCTGCCAGTTTGTAGATCTTTGACCAATACTTACTCACCATTCTAACATGTCTGCCAGTTTGTAGATCTTTGACCAATACTTACTCCCCACCCTAACATGTCTGCCAGTTTGTAAACCTTTGACCAATACTAACTCCCCATTCTAACATGTCTGTCAGTTTGTAGGAGAACTTTGACCAATACTTACTCCCCATAATAACATGTCTGTCAGTTTGTAGATCTTTGACCAATACTTACTCCCCACCCTAACATGTCTGTCAGTTTGTAAACCTTTGACCAATACTTACTCCCCATTCTAACATGTCTGCCAGTTTGTAGATCTTTGACCAATACTTACTCCCCATTCTAACATATCTGCCAGTTTGTAGATCTTTGACCAATACTTACTCCCCATTCTAACATGTCTGCCAGTTGGTAAATCTTTGACCAATACTCACTCCCCATCCTAACATGTCTGCCAGTTTGTAGATCTTTGACCAATACTTACTCCCCATCCTAACATGTCTGCCAGTTTGTAGATCATTGACCAATACTTACTCCCCACCCTAACATGTCTGCCAGTTTGTAGATCTTTGACCAATACTTACTCCCCATAATAACATGTCTGCCAGTTTGTAGATCTTTGACCAATACTCACTCCCCATAATAACATATCTGTCAGTTTGTAGATCTTTGACCAATACTCACTCCCCATCCTAACATGTCTGTCAGTTTGTAGATCTTTGACCAATACTCACTCCCCATCCTAACATATCTGTTAGTTTGTAGATCTTTGACCAATACTCACTCCCCATTCTAACATGTCTGCCAGTTGGTAAATCTTTGACCAATACTTACTCCCCATTCTAACATATCTGCCAGTTGGTAGATCATTGACCAATTCTTACTCCCCACCCTAACATGTCTGTCAGTTTGTAGATCTTTGACCAATACTTACTCCCCATTCTAACGTCTGTCAGTTCGTAAACCTTTGACCAATACTTACTCCCCATCCTAACATGTCTGCCAGTTTGTAGCAGCCATCATCACAAGAACTCTCCATGAAAACATCTCTAAAAATAAAAAGATTGAATAATTCTAACTTGAGCATGTTACAGCACATGAAAATGTGTATCATGGTATTGACTTAAGATCATATCTAAAAATTCAAGGTCACTGGGTAATAAAAAAAATAAACATAAGGCAAGACAACATGTTCCTCAATAATACAAGATTTTTCCCAAGAATATGCCAATGAAGTATTGCTACTTCAACAAGTTTCCTTTCAAAAAATTGAGGTACCTTACGAGGCATTTATACAAGATACCAGAGGATGGTGTTTCTTATATAATCCTATTGGAAATCACTAGCAATTACCAATATCACAATTCTTGGTGTATTTATTTTTTAATATAATATGAAAACATTTTTGAAATAACAAGATGATGATAATTATGATTAATTTATATATAATGAACAGACTTTTGAGGAACGTGTAGTCAGACCTTAATCTGGCCAGAACTTTGGAATTCTTGACTGGAATATTGCTGCTGCTGATCTAAAGGTGTAACACAATTTTGAATCATACACCTCTGTCATACCTTACAGGTCAGTTTGAAGTGAGATATATAAATCATGGCCAGACCTTAACAGGTCTGGCACATTCTCTTGATTTAGTTTTATAGCTTTATTTACCTATATAGATATATAAAGCTATTCAGAATAGCTTGATTTAGGTATTCTATCACACTTTTTTCTTAAATGTGTTATTTTTTCAGCATGTACATAAAGTCACATTTTGGTGCAGTGATAATCTTTAACCTTGAAATCTTCTAAAAACAATGCATGTAAAAAATCACTCATCAATTTGCGTCTCCTTGAGAGACTTTGTACTCAACGTTCTAAAAGTTTGGGGCTATATAATTAAGCCATTGATTTGTGACAATACAGTTACTTGTTGAATGGAATTTAAAGGAGGACAGTTATGGTCCACAAGATAATTGATCGGTAATATCACATCCCTAGGTGGAATCATTTTGTCTTAATGAGAAGATCCTGATTTGTTCTTACCTGTAATTGTCTTCATCATCAAATTTAAAACCTCCTCCAAACAACATCATAGCAAATGCATTAGTCTGAAAAATGGAAGAAAGTCTCTGTCCAGACTGTAGCTATATGGTTTGAATTCATGATAGTCTTAAAGTGGACTTGTTCCATTTGTTTTTGGAATTTTGATTATTAAAGTTTGAATTATAAAAGGATTATGTACCATGATGTTTTCTAAACTTGTTACGAATTTAAATCAATTAAGCCATACAAAAATAAATTTTTCTGAAATTGGATCAAAGCTAAAGGAGGAGTAGCATATTATAAAATGCATGGTTAAAGGTGAACAATTAGCTAAACAAACAGATGCAACTCTTTTGGTGAATAAACAGAAAAACTAAACAAGAGCACATTGGCTTGGCAAAAACACTTCCATGTCAATATAACAAATGGCTTTGTTGTACTTGAGAAGATTTTCAAAAATTTTGATCCGCCATTGTGGCTCCTCCCTATCCCAGGGGTCATCATTTGAACAAAATTGAATCTACACTATCTGAGGATGCCTCGATATCAAAATGACTAATCATGGCTTTGCAGTTCTTCAGAAGAAGATATTTTCCTATATATTTCTATTTAAGACTTTGATCCTTCATTGTGGCCCCGCCCTACCCCCAGGGGTCATGATTTGAACAAAATAGAATCTACACTACCTGAGAATGCTTCCACATAAATGTGATCAATCAGGGCTTTGCTGTTGCTGAGAGGAAGATTTTTAAAAAATTTCCTATATATTTCTATGTAAAACTTTGATCCTCCATTGTGGCCCCACCCTACCTCCGGGGGTCATGAATTGAACAAAAATGAATCTACACCACCTGAGGATGCTTCCACATAAATATGACCAATCAGGGCTTTGCTGTTCCTGAGAAGAAGATTTTTAATATTTTCCTATATATTTCTATGCAAAACTTTGATAGTTCATTGTGGTCCCGCCCTACCCCCGGGGGTCATGATTTCTTCAAACTTGAATCTACACTATCTGAGGATGCTTCCATATAAATATGACTCATCATGGCTTTGCTGTTCTTGAGAAGAAGATTTTTAAAGGTTTTTCCTATATTTCTATGTAAAACTTTGATCCTCCATTGTGGCCCTGCCCTATCCCCGGGGGTCATGTTTTGAACAAACTTGAATCTACACTACCTGAGGACGCTTCCATATAAATATGATTCATCATGGCTGTGCTGTTCTTGTGAAGAAGATTTTTAAAGGTTTTTCAAATATTTCTATGTATAACTTTGATCCTCCTTTGTGGCCCCGCCCTATCCCCGGGGATCATGATTTGAACAAACTTGAATCTACACTACCTGAGGATGCTTCCACATGAGTTTCATCTTTCCTGGCCCTGTGGTTCTTAAGAAGAAGATTTTTAAAAGATGCTATTAATTTTTCACTAATTCTTTATTATCTCCCCTTGAAAGAGGGCGTGGCCCTTCATTTGAACAAACTTGAATCCCCTTCACCCAAGGATACTTTGTGGCAAGTTTGGCTGAAATTGGCCCAGTAGTTCTGGAGAAGAAGATGAAATTGTGAAAAGTTTACAATGACACCGACGACGACAGACAACGGACAAATTTTGATCAGAAAAGCTCACTTGAGCCTTCGGCTCAGGTGAGCTAATAAGGACAGAATTTAAGCCAACAAAAAGATATAGAAAAGAAATGGAAACCATTCACACCCACAGATGTTCTTCATCTGCCTTATCAATAGACTTACTGGCTCAGTTCCCGTTTTTTCTAGGTTGATGTACAGCCTTGGTGTTTCATCAAAAACCCTGTACCAAAATCATTCTTTATTAAAATTAAGTTATGGATTAAAATTTAAACTTCAATTACGGTATGCCCTTGTGATATTGAAATTTGTACATGACCTCCATGTAGTACACATTGCGTGCATTTATGACTTTAATAATTGTAATATCAGGCAACCAAAGTAAATTCTGTACAAAATGAGATGTACTGCTAGTATGTTATCAGATGATATTAATTTCATGTCTTAATATAATAGCATTACAAAAATAAATTCAGCTTAAAATAGTATCTATTTGAGCACGTCTATATTCCGTTGATTTCTTCATAGTAGGCCTTAACAGTGCTGCATCTCTATCCTCAGAAATGATGTTTCTAAGTGCTTAACAGAGTTGCAGAGTGTAATGTTAACTTATTCATTCACATAAATAAAATTCAATAGCTAGGGATGATGATCTGGTAAAAAAAATTCCAGATTGTGACTAGATTTGCTGAAATGAATGGCCCCATCAACATTCAATCAAGGCTATGAATTCAGAATAGCTGCTCTGATGATACGCCTAACTTTACAAATAACCTCTTATAAGAGAACTATGTAGCAAACCATGATCAATAATACCTAAGGGTTTTTGCTATTGAATTATAAAAGGATTATGTAAAAAATATTGTCAGTTTTGGTTTTTGAAGGTCACCTTGTCAAGGAAAATAAATTTCTTGGAACAAAAGTAATTGAAGTACAAGAAAACTGCATATTTAAAGAAACTTTCTACCAGTAGCTCTCAGAGTCATACCTCTGTAACCTCAACAAGTCTAATTTTTTGTGTAATGTAAATTGATCAGCTTAAAACTCAAACTATCTGTTACAGTAATTCATCATTTTAAAAACTGCAGCCCAAATTCTTTTTGTTCTGCTTAAATATGTGCTCCAAACAGTTTAAAAGCATTAATTTAAAAATAATCAAGAACTCAAAAACGAATAAAAATACAGTAAACACACTTAAAGGGAAGCACCAGTGACAAACAATTTCAATTCATTATGAAGGTCATTTGTTTTATCTACTAAGTTTATAATAGAATTTAAAACTAAAGAGAATGAAAATCACTTCACTTTAAATGTGAAATCATTGTAAGTGTATTCACTGTAGCAGTGTTTTACTGTAAAATGCAATTACCTGCTTGTAAGTGAGGCAAAAGGCTGCACAGTTAGAGAGGTGCCCATTATAATCAGCAAGTCACAGGTCTTAAAATCCTAAAATAGAGGAGATTTAAGCTAGCCTCAAGTGTGATGTGTATTGTGGATTTTTCTTCTTTTTTACAGATTTGAAAATTTGATATGCCAAAACTAGAGATTTCACCTCCGACACACATGTGGAAAATCTATCTGGTAGTCTCTCCCCAAAGAAAACAATATCTGTAAAACAAGAGGTTGGCAGAGGGCATCAAAGAACATATATGGATTAACATGTACCAGGGACATATATTTCATAATATAAATCATGACTTGGATGGGAACTCTGTATTATGTCTGATACAAATGTAGGACATTTATTTTGTGATCAATAACAATGATTATATTTACCCGGTTTGACAATTCCATCACAGCCTTCCTTCTCACACTTTGGAATTTCAAGTTCTTCACCTAAAATTTTCCCTGGTTAGAAAAAAGAAACAGACATTGACTAGAATATTCATAGAGACATTAATGTATGGCACACTGATTGCATCAAAGTAGAACTAATAGAACAATGATTGTGAATTTATACACAAGCATAATGAAACCCTATATTGTTAAAAATTACACACAAAAAATTTCTATACAAACATCAAGAAAAATAAATAGGAAGTAGACAATTTATCTACCACATTTTTCAGTATAAAAGTGTGTATTTTTGAAGATTAAAACATTTTTAAAATATTAGCTTTACCCTGTAATATGACCTCAATTAACAGGGGGACAGCTGATCTTTCATAATTAAGAGCACAGAATACTTTTTTTTTTTTTAAATAAAAGGCACAAACCATTAAAACTGAAAACTTCCTGTTCCAAATCGTTCAGATAACAAAAAATTTAGGGACAATATCTAGACCTTAATGATACTTTAGAGGGGATTATGCAGATGCAGGGAATTCAGACATACAGTGTACTAGTCAGATATATCTCTTAATTATGTATTGATCTGTCCTAGGGATGTAACATGTATTACTTGTAGGCAAGGTTGTAATGACTACAAGTGACTTTGTGATGAATGTTAACTAACCTTTCATCCAATCTTGTGTGTACTCAGCATTACACTGTAGACAGTGGCCCAGGCGAAATGAACCATGAGCTTCCACAATCTTGTCAGCATCAATGCAAGCCACACTCTCAAGAGTATCAATGTTCTGGAAACAGTCAATAAAAATATACTAGCATATATTTCACACAAATCACAGCAAACTAATACATGTTTTCAGCTACAACACATCAATACTGTCTATACCCTTCAGCTTTTACAATCCAATCTCAGTAATGGAGTTATTCAAAAAATTACAAAAATAAATTTGAAATCTAAAGCAAGATAAGTACATTATCTCTATGTAAAAAATATTAAAAAAAAATGTACTTATCTTGTATAATAAATTAAAAAAATTTAATTACTTGATAGAAACAAACATGTGCATTACTTGTGTGTTGTGAATATAAACATGCAAATTACATGTACCTGTTTGTAATAGATATAAACATGTACCTCACCTGTGTGTGGAGGATACAAACAAAACATGTAAATCACCTGTGTGTTGTGGAGATAGACATGTACATCACCTGTGTGTTGTGGATATAGACATGTACATCACCTGTGTGTTGTGGATATAAACCTGTACATTACCTGTGTGTTGTGGATATAAACATGTACATTACCTGTGTGTTGTGGATATAAACATGTACATTACCTGTGTGTTGAGGATACAAACATGTACATGACCCATATGTTGTGGATATAAACATGTACATTACCTGTGTTTTACAGTATAAACATGTATATTACCTGCATAAACATTCATAAACATGTACATTACCTGTGTTGTGGATATATATACGGTACATGTATGTGTTATAGTATAAACATGTACATAACCTGTTTGTTATAGTATTACATGTACATTACTTGTGGATAGCAGATATAAACATGAACATTACCTGAGTGTTGTACTGTAAACATGTACACAAAATGTGGGCGGTGAATTAGGTATAAATGTACATTATCTATGTGTTGTGGAAATAAACATGTACATTACCTCTGTGTTGTGGATATAAACCTGTACATTACCTGTGTGTAATGGCGTTTCAACAGTCCATGTTCATCCAACAGTTTAATAAAATAATGGCATGGTGTTGGCTAAAATGATTGGGGGAAAAAATCTATGAAAATTTGATGAATATGTAGAATTGGTTATTTATTGTTAAAAGAGTTACAGTGTATTAATTATGCATTTTTTTAATTTAGAAATATTTTTTTCAGTAATTCAACAACAATCCATGATTTTTAATCAAGAATTGATTAAATATTGTTCACCATTATAAACATAGGTAATCAAAGATTACGAAGCTCACCTCGACGAATGTTATCTATAAGTAAGGCAACATCATATTTTTTTTCTAGTTAGTGTACATGCAAAGATCAATATCCATGCAAGTTTGATTTAAGTAGGACTTATAGTTACTTGGAAATAGACCTGCTCAAAAACTTTTAACCTGTTTACTGATCAAGAAAATTTTGGTCAGTTCCAAAATCCACAGCAAGTCTGGAAGTTTTCATTTTTAGATGAACCATCTATACAAGTTTAATCATAACAGGCCATAATAATATATAGCTACTCAAAAAAAAAATTACCCTGGTCACTCATCTTGAAAATGTAGGTCAGATTCAGAATTCAAAGCAAGTCTGGAAGTATCCATCCCTAGATACATCATCCATGCTAATTTGGCTGAATATGGCTAAAATTTACTTGTGGAAAATCTAAGTCGAATCCAGCATCCGAAGCAGGTGGGCTAGTAAACATCCCTAGATGCACCATCCATGAAAGTTTGGCCCAGGTAGGGCTTATAGTTATTTGGGCATGGATCTGCTCCAAAATCTTAACCTGGTCACTCATCTGGAAAATCTAGGTCGGATCCAGCATCCGAAGCAAGTGTGGTAGTGTCCATCCCTAGATGCATCATCCATGCAAATTTGGTCTAGGTAGGGCTTATAGATACTTGGAAATAGACCTGCTCAAAAACTTTTAACCTGTTTACTGATCAAGAAAATTTTGGTCAGTTCCAAAATCCACAGCAAGTCTGGAAGTTTTCATTTTTAGATGAACCATCTATACAAGTTTAATCATAACAGGCCATAATAATATATAGCTACTCAAAAAAAAAAATTACCCTGGTCACTCATCTTGAAAATGTAGGTCAGATTCAGAATTCAAAGCAAGTCTGGAAGTATCCATCCCTAGATACATCATCCATGCTAATTTGGCTAAATATGGCTAAAATTTACTCGTGGAAAATCTAAGTCGAATCCAGCATCCGAAGCAGGTGGGCTAGTAAACATCCCTAGATGCACCATCCATGAAAGTTTGGCCCAGGTAGGGCTTATAGTTATTTGGGCATGGATCTGCTCCAAAATCTTAACCTGGTCACTCATCTGGAAAATCTAGGTCAGATCCAGCATCCAAAGCAAGTGTGGTAGTGTCCATCCCTAGATACATCATCCTTGCAAGTTTGGTCTAGGTAGGGCTTATAGTTACTTGGGAATGGACCTACTCCAAAAACTTTAACCTGGTCACTCATCTGGAAAATCTAGGTCAGATCCAGCATCCAAAGCAAGTGTGGTAGTGTCCATCCCTAGATGCATCATCCATGCACGTTTGTTCAAGGTAGAGCTAATAGTTACTTGGGAACAGACCTGCTCCAAAAACATTAACCTGGTCACTCATCTGAAAAACCTAAGTCAGATCCAGCATCCGAAGCAAGTGTGGCAGTGTCCATCCCTAGATGCATCATCCATGCAAATTTGGTCCAGGTAGGGCTTATAGTTACTTGGGAACTGACCTGCTCCAAAAACTTTAACCTGGTCACTCACCTGGAAAATCTAGGTCAGATCCAGCATCTGAAGCAAGTATGGTAGTGTCCATCCCTAGATGCATCATCCATGCAAGTTTGGTCCAAGTAGGGTATATAGTTACTTGGGAACAGATCTGCTCCAAAAACTTTAACCTGGTAACTCATCCGGAAAATCTAGGTCAGATCCACCATTCGAAGCAAGTGTGGTAGTTTCCATCCCTAGATGCATCATCCATGCACATTTGTTCAAGGTAGAGCTAATAGTTACTAGGGAACAGACCTGCTCCAAAAACATTAACCTGGTCACTCATCTGGAAAACCTAAGTCAGATCCAGCATCCGAAGCAAGTGTGGTAGTGTCCATCCCTAGATGCATCATCCATGCAAATTTGGTCCAGGTAGGGCTTATAGTTACTTGGGAACTGACCTGCTCCAAAAACTTTAACCTGGTCACTCATCTGGAAGATCTAGGTAAGATCCTGCATCTGAAGAAAGTATAGTGTCCATCCCTAGATGCATCATCCATGCAAGTTTGGTCTAGGTAGGGCTTATAGTTACTTGGGAACAGACCTGCTCCAAAAACATTAACCTGGTCACTCGTCTGGAAAATCTAGGTCAGATCCAGCATCCGAAGCAAGTGTGGTAGTGTCCATCCCTAGATGCATCATCCATGCAAGTTTGGTCCAGCTAGGGCTTACAGTTACTTGGGAATGGACTTGCTCCTAAAACTTTAACCGGGATGCCGACGCTAACGCTGACGCCGGGGGTATAGCATAAGCTCATCTCGACTTCGTCGAGGTGAGCTAAAAATACTTGTGATTTAGACACCTTATTTTATCAACATTACATACTCATGTCATAGACAAAAAAAGAGAGAGTCAGTCACTAATTTCGAGAATCCACAAACAATTCATAGACTGCTGAAATATGTTTACCTTAAAAGTCCCTGGCCATAGCTCTCTGGCCAGCATGCAGAAAGGTTCAGGATTTTCCTGCAAAAGTTTGGTAACATGCAGTTATTATCAGATAAAAACAGGACTGTATGTTTCTATGAACTTACACATGTCAATTAAGGTGAATACAATGAAATAAAAAATAGGGGATTCCAGGTTTGTTCAGCAATTGATTTTTAAAAGGTTGTCTTGATGCCATGGTTGATGTGAAAATTAAGTTCTTATCATGACTTCACTCGGCACACCTCGGCTGATTCGTACCTCATCTAACCTTGGCTGTATCATGTAAACCTCCATTGAACCGGAGCTACTTTATATGCAATATGGCTGCGCTCTACAATTACACGTGCACAGTGTGCTGAATTCGATCCGTTAACAAACATGTGTTTATGTAAAGATACTAAGTGCATGTTTCTTGGTAATTGTTATTCTTACCGTTACCTAAATGCTTTTGAAAATTTTAATCGTATGTCTGATGGATGTTTATCATCGTTTCAAAGCATTACGTTTTCCCTAAGCAGTAAACAGGCAGCCTTATCACAAATGTTAAGTGGAGACGCATACCATGTTTCCTCGTACAGCCGAGGTTTGATGAAGGTGACGGAATCAGCCAAGGTTTGCCGAATGATCATGACTTAGTACAGAAAATTTCTTACTAATCAATGTCATGGTATTGTTCTCTAATACATGTAAACGCAAAGCTATTGTTCCATATTAAGTCAAATGATACACTAGTGAATCAAAGTAAAATATTCCATTAAAGAATATAATTTAATTCTCATTGTAACGCACCATTTGATTGGATAAAAAATTTACTTTATATTGTATAAATTGGGTTGCCTATGTCACAATTACTTGCGTCAAAAACGTATCGATTCACCTGACGTTACATTTAAATTTTATACAATTTGAAGTCATTTTTTAAGAGCAATCATCCTTTTTCTTAAACTAAATGAATGAAATTTAAATTATAAGGAATGAAATTAATAGCTACCCAATTTATACGGTATAAAGTGGGTTGGAACAGTTTATCTGCTTTTTTATAAACCGCTTCTCAGTTTATAAAGCGTAAACTGACCCAACCCACTTTATACCATATAAATTGGGTAGCTATTAAATTCATTCCTTAAATAAAAAATCCCCACTGTTTTCTGTTAAATCACTAAAACTCATAGGAAAATGACTCCACACTAGCAATAAATATAAAAAGATTAAGGTCATCACCTTGAAATAGTCCAGACTAAATATGGCCTGGGGAAAAGGAAGGTCGTATTTCTCTAAGTTGTGGTACAGTCCTGTTTCAGGGGATCGGAAGTCTGGGATACCAGCCGCTAGAAAAAGTAGTTCACAAATGATTTAACACAATTCTTTAATTGTATTTTCAAGTCATTTAATTAGAAAGCATAACCTTAACAAAATAACTTTCAAGACTAGGGGAAAAAATTCATAATTTTGCAAGACTTCAACTAAATCTGGCCTCTTTACACCAAAGCTTTCTTGTCAATGCACTAGCTGAGTTACACATATTAACTTAGACAAAGATTGACTTTACCAGGCATTCTTTTTAGAATGTTATGCTTAGTTGTGTTACATTGCTGTTACTCCTTACAAGTAGAGATTCCAGCTCCAGCCATTGTAATGATATTGGTGGCTTTTTTGTCCTTGATAAACTGAACAATTCCTTCCAGGTCCACCGAGGATAGCAATTGTTTGGGGGGCTCCTCCACCTCCAAGTGCTTCATCAAATCCACCAAACCCATATCAGCTGAAAAAATACATGTTGTATGTGCATGCATGCAGTCTTAAATTCACTATAAGTTGTTTCAGTACACATTCAATCTTATGGATAGGCAATTCATACACTGACAAACAGACAGACAGAGGACCAGATAATTTGATGGACAGGTTGTAAATAAACCCAGAGACCAACAATGGACAAGCTAATAGATAGATGGGCAGACAGTAGACCAGAAATTTTGATGGACAAGCAACAGACAGACAGGGGACCCAAAAGTTTGATGGACGCCAACACAGACAGATGAAGCTAGACCACTTGATAAACTGGAAATAAACTATCCAATAGATAGACAGATGAAGGAACCCTGAATTTAATAAACGGGCAATAGACAAGCCAATTAAATATTGGATCCCTGCTTTTGACTTAATTAACATTGAATGATGTCTTGTTAGACTCACCTGGGTGCACCTTTTCCTTCTTCTCATCCTAAGAATAGAAGAAGAGGGATATGACAAAACTCATTTATTTCATTTATTCCATCCAACTAGTAATTGTGTTCTTTTTTTAACTTTTTCAATATATTAGAAAGTAGTTATATCTAAGTCTTAAACAGTCATCACTCAAACACTGTACCTGTTCTTTTGGTTGATCATCTGTTCTTTTCTCATCTGTTGGCCAAAAATATTTTTTATCATATTACACTGCCATAAATGTATTTAATATTTTTGAGAAGAAAGAAAAAATGTGTTTTTTATCAAGTAACATTGCATGGTATAAAATTTATAAACTAATTAAGCTGAGTTGTGATTCTAAATTAATTTGTCATTGACAATTTTTCTCCATTCACATAACTTCTCATTTTATATACACCTACCTTTTTCTGCCATTTTACTGCAAAAG